ACACACACAAACATATTCTACAGCACCACATTCACAAAGTTCACAGGGAGCTGATCGCTTGGCAAGCAATCCATAACGGACCACCCTCTGATACTGACAATAACACACACTCTTAAGTGCCTTAGTTTCATTTGGTCCCCGCTCACTTAGACTTACACAGTAACAACAGGTAAAAGGACGTGTGCCGCGGTTCAACAGTTTCAATCAGTTTATCACAAATATACATTTTTCGGGGACGACTCTGGCAGGAGAAAGTTTTTTTCTGTGCCCGTAGAGAGGTGCAACACCAGGCTAAGTGACATAGGGAGGCAGAATTGTCCCCCTCACATCCCCCTGCTTTGCCAGCAGAAAGAGAAATACAGTCGGACACTTGATGAAGCACATGTCTCCCAGGTTCTGTCAGTGATCGATGAGCGGGAACGATGGAGGGAGGGAGCGGCAAGAGAGCAAGAAAAATGCATAGCAGGCATTTTGTGTGGTCTTGAGACATGACACCAGTCGTGTTGTAGCGGAAGTTGTGCTTTTCTCGCACGGCGTAGTCGTTTACTCTTTTAACAGGAGAGCCACATGAGATCCTCCAGGAATTCAAACAGCATTGAAATGTCAGAGGATACGCTTTCGTCAACTCGACTGTCACAAATCAGCTTGATAGTCAACAAGCAACCGAAGCACATTCAACACGCACCATTTCCTGTGCGTTCATGCAAACGTTTGCTGTGCATGTATTACATTCATATCGATAATTAAAACTGCTCCAAAATGCCACTGATACATACGACCTTCTCGTTTACCTATCTTGAGTTAGGTTTGGAGAACTGAAGGGTTTGCTGTTTTAGGATATTCAGAATGGTTGTGGCTTATGTGGATGCCACTTAAAGATGAAAACAGTTATTTATATGATTATTGAAAAATCTTCTTATCTTCGTAGTCTTTTCTCAGAAAATAAGCTCGCTAGCTACAACCAGATGCCAACAATAAGTCTCTCTCTTTCTCTACCTCTCTCTCTGTCCATCTCTCTAGCATTCACAAAAATGTACCCCTGCCAAAAAAGCATGAAGTAGATCCGCTGCCTTGAATACTTGCAAAAGCTTTATTATTTTTGAGGGTGTGAGTGTGTTACCGGATGAATATTCATAAGTACATGTATGTATATAGATTTATATAGCTAGATAGATAAATTGGGGGCTATTAATGAAACATTGGCGGCTGTTGCCTGAGAGGCTCAGGCCTAACGATGCTAATGTCAGTATGTAATGACGCATTTGACTTGGCGGCGTCATGTTCGGCGTTGCATCCTTTGATATATGTCTCTCTCTCTGTGCTCATCACTCTGCTAACCTTGGGAGAGCTGCAGACGAGAGAAAGATAAAGGACTTAAGCTATTATGTCTGAAAGGCTCCTGTCTCAATTTAGCTGTTAAATGGCTTCCTGGCTACAGCGGCTGCAGGGGAGAACATCCCAACAGCTGTTGTCACTTCGTCCTGTTATTGATAGAAATCCAACTGTCAGTCACTGTCAGCATAGTGACGTGTGTGTGTGTGTGTGT